AGGGTGTAGAAAGATGGGCGAACATTTGTTTACGCATTCCAATTTGTTTTCAAAACCTTTATTTGTAAAAAACAAGGTTAGATTAATTTTTTTTAAAAATCGAACATGAGAAAAATGGATGATAACCGGGACAAGATATAACAAATCATTCTTTTTTTACATAAACTTTTTAAAAACGAACACGCGCTCGGCCAAACGAACAACCAGCATACAAAAAACTCTTATCCATTAATGACTTTCAACAACGTATATATTGTAAAGTATAAAAACACTGAAGAATTTGCACTAGATACTTTCACTAAGCTACCTAGGAGTTTAGTAAATAGGTAAAAACTGAAAATAAAAATTCTAACATTTGTATCCGTTTTCCTAAAAATGTTATAGACGTAATTTCAGATGACCCTTTGTTGCAAGTCAGATTCACAACAGTATCCTTTCATGCTTAATCTGATAAATAATATATTTCACATTTTTGATATCATTGCATTCTGAGATGACAATTATCTGAAAATTTTCACAGGCTGGGAATTTTTGAATAGACTAAGTAAGTTAAACCTAATCTTACCACTCTAGGTGATTAACCGCGCGATTTCTCATTGCTCAAAAGTTTTCCTTAACATATCTCTTTACTTTGCTAAGATATTGCTACTCCTAGGTTACCTTCTGTAGAGTCGAATACTTGACATATTCTGAATATATCTCTTTACTTTGCTAAGATATTGCTACTCCTAGGTTACCTTCTGTATAGTCGAATACTTGACATATTCTGAATTGAAACTAAAACTATCTTGATTTAAACTGTAGAACAATGACAAGGAATCTTGACATTTTATTTAGGGGCTGTCATTGACATATAAAAGAGAAACTGTTTTAACATGTATTTTAATTTTTAAATGGTATATTTGGAGACTGGTAACCCTAAACAGGAAAGGGAAGCGACCCCCCCCCCCCCCCCCCCCCCTCCGATACTATATTATATACTATGAGAGACTTCAAACATACCTCGGATATCATATAAAATTGGAAAACTATTGCAATCACCTCACAACTGGAAGGTTTGAATTGCCCCTGCAGACCAATAACAAGAACAAGAACCAAGAACCAAAATGAGAATAAGAATACAGTTTTTTATTTCAATTAGTTGTTTCTGTTCATGTTCAATTTCTTAAAACTCTAAAATTTACCACTTTCAATTATCTATTTTCTCTCTGCCAATCTCCCCTTAATCCTAAATCCAAAAAAAATGTAAAATAAATATTCAATAATGATTTTATACATGTATCACTATTTTGTTAAGTGTTTATGAACACACATTCTCAATTATACATCTTAGTATTTACGGAAAAGAATAACAGTCGGATGGGAGAAATTCTCTTAATCCCCTCTCCCTCATTCCCCATCTTTACTCCAACCTGTGAATGTTAAGCAGTTCCCCCCGCCTTGCCCGCCGCCCGACCGACTATCATAGATTATCAGCATTCAGCTTTAACAGCACTGAGTTTGCCTACAATTATCTGGGAAACTTTAGTACACTTTATTTTAACCAAATGTATGTATACTTCCTTGTGTATCTTTCTTGCACATAAGAAGTATAAATGATCGAGTAAAACTAAAGAGGAAGTTTTGTTGTTCCTTTATGGACAAAACAAAGATTGAATACTTCATATTTTATAGAATACATTTTCTTATTTTTTCAAAGAAAAAAATAAAATACCAATATATACATGTGTAAAGATAGATAGAAAGATAGAGATCTAGAAAGGAGCAAGGAATGCAGGTAGATGCTCAATTGACATTATCGGTTAATCACACATGCCAGGCCCCACACGTACACACAATTATTCTTGCAGACAATTAGACTTCAAGATTTATTTTAGCTAGAAATCCTGCCGTAAGAATTTGAACGCTCTTTATATCTTCAAAATTGTTTGAGCTAAAAAATATTTGTATTATTCAATTTCGCTTTTGTGTGGAGTATCTTTACTTCAAATTGAACGCTTGATCTTAATATCCAAAGTGGACACTTTTAAATTTGAGGATCAATGCTTGATTCCTTCATATTAGTTATCCCTGCAGGGTATGAACAACACGGGATATCGATAAGGAGTTAAATTATTCCGTAGGTCTGCACAATATGGAGATCTGCTTGATCCCGAAACATAAAAGTTAAGACTTCTGTTCTCCATGTTTCTACTCCTTGAATATGTTTTGTTTATTATCTCAATTCGTTTGCATTTTTTGCTTTCTTCACTATCTGATGCTATTTCTTTTGTCTTTTTTCTGTTACTACTTATTTATCAAAATCCATGCTTACCCAACTCACACTATGATAAATGAAATAATATGAAATGAAATGATGTTTCTTCAAAATTAATCGATTTTGGAATTTATTAACATATCTTTAACCTGGAAACCTGACCAATAAATACAACGATGATTTATCAAATTATTTTACCCGGGCGAGAAAATAAATATAAATCTTATTTTAATAATTCATTTTCAACATTCATCTTGTTTTAAAAGTCTTTTTTATCATCTTGTACGTTTTAATAATTCATTATTTCTAAATTCATTTAAGAAAAATAGATACCAATTAGTAATTGAGTAATGAATAGTGCATTTTTAAAGCATGCATTTATACATTCATCTTCTTTCGCTAAATTCTTCAAGCATTTATCTTATTCAAATAATCATTTTTTACATTTTTTCTGTTTCAATACGCCTTTCTTTACATTTATACCTATTTAGTATTTTCTGCATCTTTTCGCCATTTTATTGTTAAAGATATTTCGTAATTTATGTGTTTTTTAATGTAAAAGATTTAACCATTAACAGTTCTCACTACAAGGGCTGGGAAACGGTCTGTTAACGAAGGCATAAATTGGTTAGTTTGAAATGGCTAACAAACGGAAATAGCCAAAATTGAAAGAAAAAAATAACGGTTAATACAAATAATGAACAGATGTAGTTCAAAATGATAGCGGTTTCCGTTAAATTTTCAAATTAAAATTGCCATGATTCATAATGAAAATATAAAAAAAATATGCATTTTAAGGTGCTTTTTTACTTGTTGTGATGTTTTTGGATGTTGTCTTCAAATTTTTCCATTTATTTCCACATGAAATAATCGTTAACGGCTCGATGACGCCTGGCACAGTAAACGATTTCTCTTGTATTAACGCTGTTACTAAAATTGAGATCATTACCAAACAGTTATTTTTAAAAATAACTGAAAATACCGTCAACTATTACGTTCTTAGCTAACAACAAACGGTTCCCTGAAAAGTAAAATACACAGCTCATGCTACGACGATATCTAGTGATTTTAGCAAAATAGTTTTGACAAATAATTAGTTCCTTTTTACAAGAAAGTTTGAATAATGTTTTTGTTTACCGGCGATGGAAGGAAATCGGAAGTAATTTTGGACTATTACAGGCTAAAACTTTAAATTGGAAAAGTGCTTAATAAAAGAGCTGATGCACAGTAAGTGTCTGACAACTTGAAAGACGTGGTGTCTCTTTGGCCTGTACACCTTTTATAATCTTTATTTTCCTTAACTGTAGTTGTACTTTAAACAAAACTTTTCATTTGGGTTATAAATACAAATAGTATTACATAGTGTCAAATAAGTATTTTTAGTTTCTTCTAATTGATTTTAAAAAGCAAAAAAAGCTTGATTTTGCAAAAGGATATATATGTCTTATATTTATTTTCGAAAAATATAAAAACTTTTGTTATTGGTTCAGGAAATAGTCAATATTTTTACTCACAAAAAAATTTTCTGGCAAAAGCGTGTGTCTGTGAGAATTTCGCAAAGCCACGCTATTACACATTATCTCAATTTTAATTTTACTTTTTATGCTCGACTGTTTAAGTCGGCCAATTAATGGATAAAAGGAACAATAATTGAGTGTAGAAAGAACGTATCCAGATGAAAAGATTGCAAATGGGACGGAGAGGCTCTAGTCATTACGCATTTTCTTGAACCCCTATTTTGGATAAACCCTAGCATTTTCTATCTCTAATCGTTTGTTCCATTCATCCCTAGTGAACTGAGTGAATGTGAGGCCTAAATGCTTCATTTCATTTATCTTCCTGTAACAATACGTGAAAATGAAATAATATACAAAACCCTGGGGGAACCTAGAGAAGGGGAAATGAACGAGGGAGAGGGGGAATCATTTTGTCTTTGTCAATGACATTTTGCACATTTTAAAAGTAGTTGCATTATCTTTAGTGGTCTGTTTCTTTTAGAATTATGCGGATGTACAGAGACATATTTTATAGTTTTTAAGGCCAAACGGCCATGGCGTCTTGAATTATAAAAACCAGAAAAACATATCTAAAGTGTTAAATATTTACATGGTTTTAACATTTTATAATATATTTGTATACAAACCATTATGTACTATAAACTAAAATAGTTACATTCTAACACATAAATCTGATTTTGGTAATCACTTTTTTTTAAATTCAAGGTAGAAATAAGCGTTTTGGAATCTTCATAACCAATAACAAATAATAATGGTTTGGAAATTTCAGAGAGTGGATATAATGAGAACGCAGAGTAAAGACGCGCAGTGAGGACGCAATCAACCGATTCCGACCCCTCTTCCGCAGTACTTAATCAAAATAAAGGATAGTAATATCTACAATCAAACCCATCCAATCCCCCCCCCCCTTTCCTACAGCGTGTTATGATATAGTTGATATATGAAGGTGTAATCTGGTTACAAATATATATCAAGTATATATATATATATCAAGTTTACTCGGCTTTGTGTGACATATTATAGACGCAGATAGAAAGTAATTGACAGACACCTACACAATACACATTCAGAGATACTTTACAATCACACACACAGACAGAAACTTTACAATCACTTACACAGGCAGATAATTTACAATCAATCACACATGTACATACATATACTTACAGGCAGCTAGACAGACAGATACTTTACAATCACTCACTTCACAGACAGTTACTTTACATTTACTCATCCCAGACAGATACTTTACAATCACTTACACAGACAGATGCTTTACAATTACTTAGTTCACAGACATTTACTTTACATTCACTCACACAGACAGATACTTTACAATCATTCTCCTCACAGACAGTTACTTTACAATCATTCTCTTCACAGACAGCTACTTTACAATCATTCTCTTCACAGACGGATACTTTACAATCATTCTCTTCACAGACAATTACTTTACAATTTTTCTCTTCACAGACAGTTACTTTACAATCATTCTCTTCACAGACAGTTACTTTACAATCATTCTCTTCACAGGCAGTTACTTTACAATCACTCACACAGACAGATACTTTACAATTACTCACCACACAGACAGATACTTAACAATCACTCTCACATACAGATGCTTGACAGTCCGTTTCACAGACAAATATTCTCACACATACAAATACTTGACAGTCCGTTTCACAGACAGATATTTTGTGACTTACATACTTATACATCCATTTCGCTTTCGGGGCGCCAGAAATATTGTGCACCCGTTCTCATCATTTTGCGTAAAATCAAAACTAGAGGAGCTACGAGGTCATACCAGTAATGTTGCATAAATTTGAGCTTCTTCTTCTGTCTATAGTTGAGTATGCTGCTAGAAATCAGGACCTATAAATTATTTTAATTCTTGTTTACATCTGAAAATTTCAATGTGTGGCGAATCTATTTATATTTATTTGAATGATAATCTATCCTGGTTCAGGACGGATTAGTGGAGAATTTTCCGTCTGCTCCATATGTTGTTATCATGTTAGAGCGCAGTGAGATATATCATTAGGACTCGTTATCCGATTATCTGAACTCCGGGAGTCCTGGTCTTACCACACCTGGTTTAACACCTATTTAGAGTAGTCTCCGGTCCTTTAACCCTTTCATTCTGTTCAGTATTATACATTTTTCTTTCCCTTTTTTCTTTCTTCCTTTTTTGGTTGCTGATCTTTTGTAGTTTTTATAGATATATGCAAAGATGTAATGCAAAAAAATATTCTGGTCGTAGGAAACTATTATGTGAATTATCAAATTCAATGCTTTTAACCTCCTCGGATACTAAAAGAACACTGATGCATCTATTCTTGTTTACAAATTCCGCCCAAAGAGAACTGGTTTCAATATGTACGCAGAGTATACACGACCGCAATTAACTTTTCTTGCATTACACCCTTGGATATATGTATAATCACAATGTTCTCTTTTGCTTTACATACAAACGGTGGGGGGGGGGGGATTCTGACTTCGTCTTAAGAGATTTCTTTCTGATTTTTCGCATGAAGGCCTGAATTGTGATCTAGTTAATTTTGAATCATAAACCAAAATGGGGAAACATAATATTTCCCGCATTTTTCGGACATTTTTTCAAAAACTTTGTGATAAGTCCACGTGGTGTGTCAAAAATCATCAACATTGGTTCGGGAAACTCAATTCTGGACTTATTAATGCGTTTCCCATGTCTTTATACCACTCCCCCCTTTTCCGCATTTTCCCTCTCAAAAAGGCCAAAGAAGCCTTTTGATTTTATTACTCGCGATTTCTTTCTGATTTTTTGCATGCAGGCCTGAATTGGGATCTAGTTTTTGAATCGAACACCAAAATGCGGGTGGGGGGAATTTTCCTCACATATTTCACAATTTCACATAATTCACATAATTCATAATTTTGATATTTCAAATCACAATTTAATCATAAGACCATTATGTTTTGAATAAGCTATGAAATGGCCAGCTCCTGGATTGTTTCCAACATGACAAATTATACTGACAAGTTCTCCCAGTTGTGGCAGTTCCTTGAAAATACAATGACTTTAGACACACCACGTGGGCTGATCACAAAGTTTTTGAAAAAATGTCTGAAAAATGCGGGAAAAATGAGGGGAAAAATATTTTTCCCACATTTTGGTTTTTGATTAAAATCTCTTTAAACGAACCCCCCCCCCCCCCACTCTCTGTACGGAAATGTGGACATTACCCTTTCAAATAATTTAACAGAGTTCGAGCATTTCAACTGCGGAACAGATTTTCAAAAAAATGTGTTCAGAAATCTTTTAATCATTCACTTGCCCCTCCCCCCTCTCCCCTCCTTTCTTACTTACTTGATGCATGTCCATGCTTTGACCTGTGTCTACGGATGATTAAACGTGTAAACATCGGAAGTTTGTTCCTTTATTTATGTTTTGTGTGCAGTTTTACCAAAACAGTTTAAATATGACCGGTCAAGTTATTAAATTCCTACATTCCTGAATAAAAGATGAAGTGAACACTTCATATATACTTTTTTAAATGTAAATATACATTTTGTATTTGATATCTATATTGTATTAAAGGGAAAGAAGCTGTAGTCTCAAATGACTCTTCGATTCCCAAAAGCATCCTTAAAATGTATGAATAAGCTATCCATCCAATGTTTTCCTCTTGACAAAGGAATTGAATCTTTGCCACAAACTCTGATTTTCTAATCACTATATCTTTGTAACCAAATGTTGCAGACCTTAGATATTTCAAACTATGAATTCTGTAAGATCAAATAATCTGAGTTTGAAATATCGAAGGTTTACAACATCGTGTTCAAAAGATATTGAGGTTTAAATATTTGATTTTGTTCCAAAGACTCAATTCCTTTATGCTTTTAAATTGTGATTCTTGGGTTTACCCCGAATTCGCCAAAAAGTCTGAAGCGAGTTAGCCTTGCGATTTTCTTTCATTAAAAATGAGCCCTTTAAAAAATTTAAAATCTTAATATATACATATCTATACGTAGATTATATAATATATTACTCGTGTATGATGTTTTATATATCTGCTTGAATCAAAGCTTATTAAAGAGAAGATTGTCAATCAAAAGTATTGTCTCTGTGGACCAAGGATTCTTTCTTAACCTCGACATTGTTTTATAGGAAAATATTAAGCTTGTTACTTTTTATTTAAGTATACCATGTAGGACAAAAATCAAGAAAAAGATTAAAATGTGTGTAAATTTTTCTTTTTCTTTTTTTCTTAAATGGAAATTAAAAGTTTAATGAAATTATATGTTATTAAATGGTTAAATCCAGCATGCATTTCTGGGATGAAATTAGTTTTAGCTTAAAACATAAATGATTTCTAATTCAAATTCAGGTTTAGTTTTCAAACTGGTTTGCTATTTGTGAAGAGAATTTACATAAACCACCATAGTTATCTATAGCATGAATTCCGACCACAAGATATCCAACCTTAAAAGATATCCTTAAAAGATTGTGAATCCTCCTAGCCTGAGTTTTCTTGTTTTCTAATCAAGATGTTGTTTACTATCGTTTACCCTGGGGACCTTACTCAGATACAGGTCACAAGGATCGAGTAGAGGTAGCTCATCTAGATACAATAAACAATTGGACACTTTACAGAGATGATAACGGATACAATAAGATCCAGAAAGGTTTGGAATAAATGTTGTCTATGCTTATTCTTTTTACTTGAGAAATGTGGCTGAGGATTTTATAAATTGCAAACGTTGCGACTAATACTTCTCTAACAATGTTTAGCGCACTATTGTATAAATAGTTTAGTTGCAAAGTACAACCATACACCATTTTAGGATTTGCTAACGTTGCGACTAATACTTCTCTAACAATGTTTAGGGCACTATTGTATAAATAGTTTAGTTGCAAAGTACAACCATACACCATTTTAGGATTTGCTAACGTTGCGACTTGGAGATTTACTGAACGCGAACTTTTGTCAAACATTTTCTCACCTGAAACTCTTTTGGAGCCTGACAAAAATAATATGTAGTTTTACCACATTTTCCCAATCTATGAATATATTTATTTCTATTACGTTTCTATAAATTATTCATTATATTTGTTTCCCTGGAGTATACTCTGTCTTTTTATCTTCACCTCTCTACATATTCTTTAAGCCTGGATATTTACTTAATCTTATTTCTACAACCCTTAAACTAAATATTGAATTGGTTACCTTAGTTTCTATATCTTTGCAAGTTTAGTTTAGAAAAATAAGATAGGAATCAGGTTGATCTACCATATTCTATCGAGGTTTCGTGATTTATTTTAAATGTAAATATTTTGATATGGAATAAAGCCTGTCATCCTGTCACCAACAAAGTTTTCTTGATTTTCTACAGTGTTCACTTCATACCCCCTCCACTCTACTCTTGTGGTAAACCTAGCAACCCCCCCCCCCCCCCCCCCCCCAAAAAAAAAAAATAGTATATATGTTTACCTTAAATGGGCGAGTAGCATGCACCCTATATGTCTATAAATATGTATATATGATGTATAATGCTATAAATTAAACTTGTTTTGGTTGGTTGAGTATGGGGTTGTATTAGTGAAAATGTTAAGGAAAGTAAGATCAAACAATTACCATCATTTAATGATGTAATACAATACATATGACAAACATCTTGCAAACAAACATAATATGTATAGTTAACACAAAGCTAACATCACATCCCCCCAGTCTCCGTTCCTTACACCGCTCCCCCCTCCCCTTCGTCTATTTTACATGATCAAAATATTTTAACAAAAAAAAATTTAAGAACCGCCAGATTCCCTACAATGAATTCAAACCCATTTACAAATCAAACCATAAGTTAAGTTTGAAAGTTGCCTGGTAGAAAAGTACCTATATTCTATATACCTAGTGAAGAAGTTCATTTTTATCGTTATTAAAACTGTTGCAAAAATTTGTTTATTTCTTGTTTTAACATTGCCTTGTTTACAGAATTTATATTTGAGTAAAAAGGTTAAACTGCTGCATTGATTTACACTGAGAAGCAAAACGTAACTAATGTGAGCCTAGGTATTTTTAGGGTCTTACCTAGCCATTTAGCTGAATATTTAACTGGTACTTTTTGGATGCTTTCAGATACTTTTTAGATAGTTTTAAGCCTCGGAATTGGATTCCCGAGTTTTTATCGCGAATACGGAGCAGTGGACAGTTTTATAGTCATGACCGGGCTATTAACAGGTGACATATAGACAGACAATAAGATAGACAGATAGTTACAAATCAGTGTGCATTGTTAAAATGCACTTATTAGCCCAAACTAAAAGCCAAGTAAAAGCAAGCGAGCTAGCTGGGTCTAAGGTTAGATATTGAAAGTATGAACGGATTCACAAAATGCATAGCAGAGCTACATAATACCACTTACAACAGATATAAGAAGAACATATTGAAAGTTTATCAGGTTCACCGTGAAATATATGGAATCAGGTTCACCGTGAAATATATATGGAGATTCTTGTAGAAGTATCTTTATGTAATGCATTATGCTCCTTAAATACACAGGATTAGAATTTAATCTTCTATTTACAATTTAAAACCAGTCAGGAGG